ATTCTTGGTTTTCGGAACCTTTGCACATGACTGAAAAAAACACATAAAACCATCTCATCAGATAGTTGAAGATTGGAATATCATATTGATCTAGAGATTGTAAAGAATTTTCAAAAACAACGCAACAGATCGTATCTTCATCATTGGCGAAGCCTATTATTTAATTCATTATATTATGGCCTTAACAACAAGATATGTTTAGGCAGTGCTAGTATCATCATCAGTTATCGTATTGCACGCAGGCAATCATTAGTATAGGCGAATAAAAATTCAATGTTTTTCATGCTAAAAAGTTGTGAAATAAGCGTAACAATATTACAAAACATAGTATAAACGTGGTATAAATAAAGATGAGGTAAAACTAGAGTACAGTATCTATGCCACAAAGGAAAGAATGGAATGAATTTAGAATGACAAAGATAAATGAATATAAATAATAAGTGAGAGCTGCTCCTACTAATATGCAAGGTTTCTTGTAAAGAACTAAATAGCAATACAAGGTATTTGGTGCTTTTACAACCAATTGGGCCTGAGTCAATTTGTAGTTAGAGCTGCGCATATCAAGGTAAAAATCATATACACAACATAGGTTTATATTCATTGATCTCGATTGACCTTGGATATGAGCATCTCGACTGACCTTGGATACGAGCATGTACAGTTTTAACTATGAATTGGTTTATTATCATTATCGTTATTACATGAAACAACTTACCGCAATCTTTCAGAGGTTTTGAACAAGAAGATCAGTTCACACAAAAGTTTTCTGAGAAAAAAAAATTGGCTTTGATTTTTTATGAGTAGAAGATTCCCAAAGTGTAAACCCATCCACCTCCCTTCTCCCCTGCTCCTCCCTTCCCGCCTCCCCAAAAAAGGAAATATGTATAAATAAATAGATAAAAGAGAAAAAAAAAATCAACAAATTTTATGTTTAGGGGGTGGACTTTAGTAATGTATTATGCAGTTTGTCAGTTTTATGTAAGTATACTGAATGATTGTTTTTTAACATTGATGATAAATATGTCAGTTACATATTACCTGTTAATATTATTATATGCAAATCCAAAAAAATGTAGCAGTAGTAAGTTTTACTTACGAGACAAAAATCCAAAGTAAGGAGGTCGTCTATTGTTTTATCTTTTTTTCTTTTAAGAATTACTATGGAGACGACAGTTGAGACAGATTTCATGCCACCAAATCCCCCTAGTAGCCCTCAGCAAGGTAGAAGCCCTAAGGGGTCATACATAGGCTTAGCAGTGGAGCCACAGACCCACCCAGTAAGTTGAAAGTAATCGACAAATTCCAATACTTCTACAGTCCATTGTGGTTGCAATGTGGTCTTACACACTACCACTGAACTTGGTTGACTTAACAATACTCACTAAGAGCCCTTAACTAAGAAGTGTTTTAAAGATGTTTCACACATGGCCACAGGCTGTAAACGAAACTCAGTACCCTTTTGATTTTTTTCATAGGCAGTGGCATATTCTGGGGTTGTGCAGGGAGGGGGGGGGGTCTTCCCCATTGAAAAATCACCTCATATAAACTTATTTTGGAGAGGTAGCACCTTTAGTCACTTAATCATTGAATTTTTACTTCACCTTCAACCTCCCCATGAGCACCCCTCCCCATCAGGACCCCTACCCTTCACCAATTTAAGACTCTAAATACACCACTGAACATAGGAAAACTTTACTGATTGTTTTATTTACATTTATACATTCATCAATTTTTCCTGGTCTTCCAGCAAAATATACCACCATCAATTTCAGAAGTTTTACTTGAAAAGCAGAGAAATTCTGTTTCAAGCGTAAGTACAGTAAGGTCTATAGTGAGTAGAAGCAGGGACTCCCTGGCTTCAGATGGACCAATTAAAAGCCAGCAAGTTGAGCAGAGTACCCTATCCACATATGACAGCATGAATGATGAGTCTGATCTCAATAGCGCCCTCTATGATAGTATCAGGAATGCAGTTGAAACATTGAATAGTAACAGTAAAGAGGTAATATAGAGCATCTTTTATCTTTTTATGTAAATTTGTTTGTATTTTGTTTTACCAATATTGTGGGGTCAAACTAAATTGAAAGAGCATCACTAAAAAAAGCAGTAAAAAAAAAAAAGAAAACATCAAAAATGTCTTTGAATGGCTACATGCTTAAAATCTGTGATTATAGTAAATAACATAGAGATGACAATCAAACAAAAAATAAAATGCATGTTTTGAACAACTAGGTTTGGACAGTTGCCACTGGCCATCGTCAATACAACGTTGCTCACCTCTGCCCCAACTTGCACTGAGGAGGTGAAAACTCGTGCCTGCCTTGTATGACATGTATTGGGTATTGTCATATGGTTTATGAGTTCTTCAAATGTTTCTTCATACTGAACTGTCATGAGCTTCTTCATTGTTTGTTGCATATTACACAACAATACCTTGAGAGAAATAAAAATGTGAATGGGAAAATCCAAAGGAGAATACTACAATTGGTAGAGTATTCAAATTAGAATCAGAGGGTGTTGGGTTTGATTCGTGATGGGGAAAAAATACATTTTATCTAAAAAAAATTTGCACATGAAACAAATTGCCTGAAATTTTGCTATGACAAAATGAATATAAACAACTATAATGTGATGTTGAATAAATTATGGCATCATACTCAAAATTGATATGCAATAGACCGAATCAGTGCCTCCAACTATTACTGGTCATGTGACGTATAGTGGGTACTAAATGTAAATAGCCATATCGTAATCCACAGTGTGCTCAGTTTAAACACAGTATATTGAAAGAGTTATGATGTTTTTTAGACAGCGACCCAAAATAAAGTAAGGTGGTAGGCCTATGTTTTGTTTTTTTTTTAAATTAGTGATTTATATTTAGCAATCTCCATGCATTTTATTTAGGCTCTGAAATGCTGTAGTGTAGGCTATATTACATTACATTACTCACTCATTAATATTAATGATAATAATTGTACTGTAAGAGTTAGTTTTAGCGCCATTTGCTGCGAATAATTGAAAGTTGTTCAAGATTTAATTTTTAGCATGTGTCATCTTTTGTGTGAGGTTCTATATTATATTGGCAACAGGCAG